ACCAAAAGATGACCAGAGTTTAAAAAGGAGGGCAGCTCTGCCAATATTCAGGTAATGGTGACCTTACATGGCCCACTAGAATGTTGTTGGACTGCAACTCTGATCCCTGATGGTGGCTAAGCTTGCCCCTCATTCCTGACATAGTACACAGGAGCCAAGTGTTTGTGCTAGTACAGTCGTGCCTCGCTTTATGATTGCCCCGCATTACGATGAAACCACATTATAACAATCTTTTTGCGATCGCAATTGCGATCGCAAAACAATGGTCTGAATAGGAGTTTTTTGCTTTGCGATGATTGGTTCCCTGCTTCGGGAACCGATTCTTCACAAAATGACAGCTGATCGGTAGTTTCAAAATGACCACCGAGTAAATAAAATGGCTCCCTGCTGTTTTCTGGGATGGATTCCTCACTGCACAGGCACCGAAAATGGCTGCGCTATGGAGGATCTTCACTGAACGGTGAGTACCCAGCCCATTGGAACACACATTGAAGGGGTTTCAATGCATTTCAGTGGGCTTTTTATTTTCTCATTACGACATTTTCATTCTACAGCGATTTCGCTGGAACGAATTAATGTCGTAATGCGACGCACCACTGTACCTGAGGCAAAAAAAATTGCCACAAGTGGGTCACCCCCTGCTTAGCATCATAATCATGTGCTGTTAAGTCAGTTCTGAGTTACAGTGACTCTTTCCAGTGTTTTCCAGGTAAAGTACTCAGAAGTGGTTTACCATTCTTGGGATGCCCTGGGGCTGTGCAGTTTGCCCAAGGTGATACAAGCTGGCTCTGCTCCTGGGATGCACAGGAGGAACTGTACTCTAGGCTTCAAGTAATCCAACTCACCAAGCTATCCAGCCAGCTCACCGGGGTATCATACATAATTAAATAGCACACAGTTTGCTGCCATTCCATGGCATCCAGAAACAGAAAAGGTACTATGGATACATTTGGTAAAGTGAGTTTATGAATGCCTCTCTCCACCATTTTGACTTTAACCGATCAAATGTAATTAATTAATGTTAATTATGGTTATAGTCTTTACCCAAAGAGGCTTTAAAAGTTAATCTGTTGGCTAAGGGCATTCACTCTCAGAGCCTGGAAATAATTAGTTAAATTTTGTCAGCTACGCATTGTTTTCTGCTTTCCCTAGTGGGACTGAAAAAGTCAATTTGCTGGTTAATTGCCATCAATAATTCTGTGGTGCAATGAAATAAGAGATTTTCATTAATATTCATTGCAAACAATTGTCTCAAAGGGAATGAAGTACTAGGGTGGTAAAAAACAGATGAAGGCAGGCACTGAACCAGAGAGTTCAACCCGAAAACAAAAACATATGCTGTAGCATTGGTATTTGCAGGCCATGCTTATTGCTTCTTAGCGAGTGGGGAAACAGAAGGTGCAATTGTTCAGTAGATCTGGAAAATATTCAGCATCTGCTTAAAGGGACTCAAAGTAATTCTGATTAAAAATTCTCCACACTCGAGTCACTAAATGATCTTTGTTGCCACTCATTGCTTAACTTCCATATTGCAGCAGATCAGCGTCCTCTAGTGGGCACCTAATTCCTTAATAACCCTTTCTAGTCCACAGTGTTTGAAGAGTGGTTAGGCCTCATCTTGAGTACCGTGTCCAGTTCTGGATACTGCACTTCGAGAAGGATTCAGACAGATTGGAACAAGTTCAGAGGAGGGTGACAAGGATGACCAGGGGGCTGGAAACCAAGCCCTTTGAAGAAAGACTGAAAGAACTGGGCATGTTTAGCCTTGAGAAAAGAAGACTGAGGGGAGATATGATAGCACTTTTCAAATACAGTAACTGAAAGTGAGGATCTCTTCTCAATCATCCCAGATTGCAGGACATGTATTAACGGGCTCAAGCTACAGGAAGCTGGATTTAGGCTGAATATCAGGAAAAACTTCTTAACTATTAGATCAGTGCATTAGTGGAACCAATTACCCTGGGAAGTGGTAACTAAACATGGGGACGAATAAAAGAACAGATCATGATATTCGTAAAAAATCACTGATTCGTTAAATATTCATCCCTTCATATTTGTCAGTTCCAGAGTTCTTGACAAATATGAAGGGACAAATATTGCCCCATTCTTATTCGTCCCCCAAATGGCCTTCCCATTCTGCCTATGGGACCACTGATCAGCTGATCAGCGTGTCAATATACAGCCAGCCAGCCCCACAGCCACCCACCCCCACAGACTATCCCCTGCCTCCTTCCTCTCCCTACCTTAGTTGCTGCCACCATCTGGTGGTGCCGTCATCCATTGCCGCCCACTGTGGTGGTCTCTGCAACCACGGCCTGCAGTAGGGGATACTGGTTGACCTTTGCAAAGATGGTGGCTGTGGCTTCATTTAGCATACGGATGCTGCAGCTGCCATCTTTGCAAAGGACAACCAGTGTCCTTTACTGAAGGCCATAGTGGTGGAGGCCAGCTGGAGACTGCGATGGCTGCAGGGGCCATCTGTGGTGCGGTGGTGATGGGGGTACAGGGGGCAATGGTGGCGGCAGGTCAGCAGCGGTGTGGGGGGGTTCAGGGTTTTTTTAGACAGCCTCTGCCTGTCTACCTCACCCAAATCGACAAATAAATTTGTGCACCATCAGTTCATTGGGGGAGCTAAGTGCTTTCTGCTTCATCAACTTTGATGGATCACGGAGCAGGATGAATCGTCCCTATCTCTAGTAGTGAGCACTCCAGCACTGGAGGCATTCAAGAGAAAAGTGAACAACCATCTGTCAGATCTGCTTAATTTGGATTCCTGCCTTGAGCAGGGGGTTGGACTCGATGGACTTATAGGCCCCTTCCAACTTCATTATTCTATGATTCTATAAGAGTGAGGGAGCAACCTATCTATTGATGATTTTGGAAGGAAGTAGGGGTGAGCACCTGCCATCTGTTTCAATTCAGTCCATTTTGTTTGTCTTACAAATCACAGCCAATTTGCTTGAAGCTAATTTGTAGCCCATTAAATTTGATTTTTGTTCAAATGGTTTCAAATTTTGCCAGATGCTCATATTTGTCAAAACAGTGGAAAAACATCAAAATGGAGAAAATAAAGGGGTCTAACCTAGGATGATGGGACGTGGGATTTAGAGATGGGGGCTTTGTATTCGTATATGAATATGAAGCCTGCTGAAACAGCTGGCTGGCTTGATGAACACCCACCCCGGACCCCACTAGATCACTTACTGCTTACCACATGGCAGGCATCACCTTCTGTGCCCCAATCACGACAGTAGCTTGGCTGCCGCAGCCCCACCTCCCTGCTTGCCCAGCCACTCTGGCAAGGGGGCAGGATGATGAGTCTCCCTGCTCAGCCATGGAGTGCCTGGGAGAGCAGAGAGGCAGGGCGGCGGCAGCCGAGCTACTGCCACGATTGGGGCACACTGTATGGTAAGTGGTCCAGCAGGGTCTGGGGGGTGGGTGTTCATCAAGCTGGCCACCTGTGCCAGCAGGCTTCGTATTTGTATACAAATACTGTTTGTATACAAATATGAAGCCTGCGTCTCTAGCAGGATTCAGTGCCATCAACTATTATTCAACCTCCAGTGAGCAGGCAAAGCTCCCATCCATTTTTCCTCTCTCCCTCCCTTCATTGGGAACTGTGCAGTTTACTCCTTCCCAAGCTTCTGCCTTTCCATGAATATATCCTGCATTGGCTATGTACTGTTGCCCAACTGTCAGTCACAAGGGACATTGTGAAATGAAAGCTGTGCTTCTGGATTTTAACCTCTAAAGTGAAAGTCAGCACTTTGGAAGGCCCTGGTATGAGTTGAACACTTCTCCAGGCTTCCTTGCCTGCATAACACTGGATCAGTTTAGAAATCTACAGTGGTGGCCTGCAAGACGATGTTAATCCGTTCCATTGAAATCGCTGTCTTGTGAAAACATCGTCTTGCGAAAAGTGTTTCTCCATTGGAATGCATTGAAATCCGTTCAATGCGTTCCAATGGGGAAAAATCGTCGTCATTTTGTGAAGATCGCCCATAGGGAAGCCATTTTGTGAAGCGCTGATCAGCTGTTAAAATCACTGTCTTGCGAAGCATCAGTCCCGAAAACACCCATTTTGCAAAGCGCCGAAAATCGTCATCTTGCAAAAATAGGTCCTGAAAAAAAAGTCTTGCAAAGCACGGACTGAAACATTGTCCAGGGAAAATCACCCATAGGAAACACTGTTTTGCGAAGCACAATGGTGATCGTGAAAACTCATCATCATGTGGATTCGTCGTTTTGTGAGGTCATCGTCTAGCGGGGCACCACTGTACAAGTACCCCTACTTCACTTTGTTTTCTGAAAAATGCCCAAATCCGGAGCACATCCCTAGAAAGAAGTAAAAAGCATATCAGTGACAAAAATTCATCTTGGTTGTTAGGTCCCGTCTTTTCAGGATAGGCTTCTCCAACTGGGTAGTCTGCATGCACTGTACTATAAATCTCTGCCATTCAATTTATTTTATTTATTTATTAAATTTATACCCCACCCCTCTAGACCATCAGACTAAAGGATTTTGTAGCTTAGAACTTCTAGAAGGTATTAGATTGTAAAAGCTTCAGAAAGGGCAAGTTTGAAGGAGTCAGTTTAAAAACTCTCATTAGAGGACTGTGATGACAACCAAACATGTCAGTCTCTGTAACTCGGATGGCTTCTTTAGAAACTAACAAATTAATTAACAGATTAATTAAGGATGACTTGGGGAACTAAATCCCTCCCCTCCCAATGTTAAGTACAAATTAATTTCCCTATTTCTAGCTATCAATGTTAGCAAACTGATTTTTTAAATCACACATTTGAAGTGTTGCTATTTGTGTACAGAATTTAAGAGCTGTGCTGAAGTCCTTGGAATGAATCCCAAATGTCCATTTCAAACAAAGGAAGTGAAAGGCTTCAGAAAACAACTCTGTTCTTTGGTGTATACTAAATAAAGCAGTAGAAGATTTGTCTCAGTACATTGGGTCTCCTAAAAACAGAAAACGTTATTTCTGCAGGAATTTGTGCGACTCACCGTCTCTGACACCGTGACGACCTACATCACAATTTTAATTGGTGATTTCCTAAAAGCTGTCTTTGTCAGGTTTTTCAATTACTGCTGGTGCTGGGACTTGGAATATGGTTTTGTGAGTATTTGACATTATCTCATTTTCCATTTTGGGGTAAGAATCTCTCAGCCACAGACCATACTGTCTGAGGGATTCTTAGGACTTCATAATGTACATTTCCAAGTTCTTCCCATACCATGTGTTACGGGGTGATGCCCAGGGTCCAGCTATGTTTCCCTTTTTGTAATATTGGCTACAAATTAAATCCTACTGACATTTGTGTCAGGTTTGCTTGTGCAATTTGCTGCTGCTAATTGTTGCTAATTGGTGAAGCACCAGGATTCTTCCCAGTTGCATACTAGGTCATGGGACCAGACGCATCACTGCGACACACTCTGACACCCTGTCAGTTCATGACAGCAAGTTATACAGACACAAACACCAGTAGGATTCAGAACTTTGATGAATTAAAGGCACGTGGAAGAAATCTTACTTGGAAAGCAGGTCTGAGAAAAGCATTCCTCCACAGGTTTCTCAGTAACAAATTTACACCCACACATCCATGTATATAGGCAGCTCTTCGCTTTTGTTTTTATCTGCATGCCAATTGTGATTTGTGCAGTATCAACAAGGCATTTGTCTTTTAATGGTACCAAATGAGCCAAGGATGACTGATTAACGCCTTGTTCAAAACTGTAATGATTCTCTGATTTACTTGGTTTCTGTCCTCCAGCAGAGGGAGTTTTATGTACAAAAGGATTCCAACAGTGTTTGTGCTCATCCAGAAAAAAAGACTGAACATCTGAGCCCACTCAGACATTTAGGTTTACTATAATAATTACTTTTGTGGTGGGGGTTGGACTGGCTCTTGTCTTTTTAATGGCTGTTTAATGATAAATATTCTGCAGGTGAGACTTTTCCCAAAAGCTTAATCTGTATATGAAGGGGGAGGGGGGGGATCAATGACTGATTTTTATTCTTCTGCTGATGCTATTAACAATAAAGAAGATCATGTTTGTTCATTTGGTTTTTTTAAAAGAAAAACAAACCCTGATAACTATAATTAAGACCATTTACTCTGCAAAGAGTCCAGCATTTTTCTTTTTAATGTAGGTTTATACATACCTGGTGTGAGACAGCAGCTCTGCCCCTGTTTCCATACTGCTAGCATTGTGAATATGGACATGATATTAACCAAAATCAAAGTGGATCACTTTTTGTCAAACAAGTTTTGTGAAAATGACTTCCTTTCGGTATTCATGAGGTTTCAGCAAAAATAATACAAACTACCACATTTGGAAGTAGAAAGAAATGAGATGGCAGCTTTACATTTTGAAAGTGATGAAACATTAATCTTCCAAAGATACATATTATCAGTGCTTCTATCTGCACAATCAACTTGTAGATGAATTATCTCTTTCTCTCTGAAGATTAATTACTAAATGAAACTCAACATTTGCTGCTTCTCTAATAATTCTTTAAATCTCTTAAAGGACCTCAGCTTCTAAATACAAAACAGCCATCTTGTCTTTTTCCACCCTTAATTAAATTTTTATGGTGTAATATTAGACGGGGAATCCACTTGAGATGGTTCTTGGACAAATCCTGGACTTTTCAACACTGTTTATTAGCTAGCCAAACTATAAAACACTTGTTACTGCTTGTTTTGCTATTAAAAAAAGAAACCACACACCTTCCAATGAATTTAATTGTCATTTCCTACCAGTCACACCAACACTAAAATCAGCAAGAATTCTGCGTTTAAAATTCTGTAATTAGATTACCATTGGATATGATATTTCAGATTTTTTTCCAGGCTGTATTAATAGAGATCTTTTGCTCCAAGAAACATACCCATAATGAGTATTGACATAATAAAATTGACATGCAGCATCATGTCAATTTTAGATTTTGTGCAGCACTTTAATAATACAAACCTAAAAGAACACTCTGTGCTTTTCCCTCAGCCTTCCTATTCAGAATTTGATATAAGTGGAAACGTGTTGGGTCTGATCTTCAATCAAGGCATGATCTGGTAAGTGTGTCCTTGAGAAATACTATCCCCCAAATCTTTTGACATGCTTGTCAACAAGACTGTGGAATTCTTCATGTTGTTTACTGAGTCTCTAATGTCACTTCAGCATTGATTCCCAGTTTTATTCTACATTCTTCTCTGTGAATGAACTGAAACGATGCCGTAAAATGGGAACAAGAAGATAGTGGTATGGGCTCTTTCTTGAATAGTTGAGTATTATTCCTTGCCACTTTGGGGGTCGATTATTGATTGATTGATTGATTGATTGATTGATTGATTGATTGATTGATTGATTGATTGATTGATTCATTCATTCATTCATTCATTCATTCACTCATTCACTCATTCACTCGTTCATAATATTTTTACCCTGTCTTTCTCCTTAAAACACCCACGGCAGGTTACATCATTAAAAGGACAATGTTTAAAAGCTAAAAGTAATAAATATACAAATATTTAAAATGGTAAATAAAATCAGTGTTAAAAACACATTTAAAAGCAACAAAGCGCAAAAGTCCAATTTGAAAAACTCCTCTCAGATACAACAAAGCACAACAATCCAATTTGAAAAACTCCTCTCAGATGGCCAGTCACTAGGGGAAAGCCTATCTAAAGAGAAATGGATGGCTGAGAAGTATTGTATAATTGGTATACTAAATGTCCCATCATCCTTCACTATTATTTAGACTAAGGTGGATAAAATGCAGCTTGCTGGCCATGGGTCCTCTCCAACACCAGCCCCAATATATGTATAGCTATACAGTAGTTCTGTTCAAGTATTTTTTAAAAAGATTTATCTGTATATCTGAGAAAGAGTCATAGCCTGTAATGTCAGAGAGGTCCTCTAGGGAGGATGAACTGGAAACTTCAAAACCCACTAGGGAAGAAGAATTGCCCATCCTTACAGTCCTAGGTTGGAAATATAGGTGCCTTTTGAGAGGTTTTAGCTTGAAGGGACTTTTCTAGATTGAGGTGGATATCAGTCAACTCAGTAGTAACCAGTAATTCCCTCTCTATCTCAGATTCTTTTTTCTGCCTTCCCCAAGTCAGGGTTCTGTCATAGTTATGGAATTTATTAGAAGTGGACAGTTAAAATGATGTGTTCTGTCAGCTATACAACCAGTCAGTTAATCAGTAATGAAGCTAGTTAATCAGTTAACTTCAATGATGTAACAAGTTAATATTTCTACACAATAAAATGTTTGTTTTTATCTATGGAGAACTGTGAGTAAACAGAAACACTTTATTCTTTCTCATTACCAGAGTCTCTGAATGCATGATCGAGACAGTAAGTGTATTTTGAGGTAAACCACACAACATGCAGGCAAATGAGAACCAGCCTGACCCTTATCCATGCCTACCCAAACCTTTTTGGGTCCCTGGTAGAAATAACTTTTTTTGAGTGCAGGTTGCTCCCTTTTGATTCAGTTCTGGCATGTGTAATCACCAGTCACTGAACCGAAGTGGATCCTTTAACAGTCATTTTGGTTAAGCCGCTGCAGGATCTTACTGTTGTGCAGTAAGATCCTGCCGCTTATTAACAAAATTCAGTGTTTTTTTTTTTTTACTATTCTGCCTGAAGATGGGGATACAGAAAAGGATGTGGAGAGGGTTTTTTTTTGCTTCAATGCCTTTAAAACCCAGCACTGAATCACTTGAGTTGCAAACTAATTCAGTGATATGCCACTTACATTTTTTTAAAAAATTACAGTTTTCCCCTGTTCCCCCATGGGGATGGGAGTGTGGACAGGAGGGGACACAGAAGAGAAGCTTTTTTAGCCTTTCCCCCTTTTCCTTTCAAAGAGAGGAATGGGCTAAATAAGGGTTGCTTGAGGTGCTGTGTGATTTCCTGCTCCCAGACCACCCAATTCTTGCGTGTGGATGCAAGCCTTGTTCCAATGGCCTGTTGCACCCCAAAAACCTCTGTTTAGTGCAATCCAACCGGTGACAACTGGGCTGTGTAGTCACACCTTTAATCTGTTGAAGTGATAGCCTAAACAAAATAAAAAAATGTTCTGGCACTCTGAAAACGAATACATCTGTTCCAGTGTGAGCTCCTGTAGATAAAACAATCTTTACAGTCCTCTGTAGTGCACTGTATTCACAAATGTTCACTGTCATGGATTTGAAATAAATGTGTTAAATAGATAACAAGTTTGCCACAATACTATCATTTTAGTTGTTGTTAAGGAGCTATAATAAGCAAAGTGGACTTTATGTCACTTCAGAAAATAATGCTTCTGGCAAATATAATGAATAATAGTACAGAACAGAAACTACATTATTATAGCCTTTTCTCTGTCTAAAGCTGTATTTCTTTGGGGTTAATCTGTCAGGAACTGGGTGGAGAGAAAGCCAGTGCTGTAATAGAGTGAAGGTTCACAGGATCAGAGCACTGGGAACTTTTTATTGCTAAAAACATTGATATCATATGCCACATCCTTTAGGCTTCTCTTAGCCTAACTATAAACCTCCAGTCAGCTTTCCCCAGAAACAACATATTATTGTAAGTTCTCAAACACCTCAAACAAATTTTGAGGTGTCTTGGTCCTGATTAGGCAACTAACTCCCATTAAATCTATTAAAAAACAACCCTTGGAGAGGAAAGTGATTGCCTTCATTTTTGGCTTCCCCTTAGGGCATGTTATAGTGATTACAGATGTTATATCATGTTTCCCAGAAAATAAGACAGGGTCTTATATTAATTTTGGCTCCAAAAATGCATTAAGTCATGTCATCTTCTTCTGGTTGCTGCACAATGGTGGAGGGCATGGTTTGACTTAACAAGGGCTTATTTTTGGGAGTAGGGCTTATATTACAAGCATCCTGAAAAATCATACTAGAGCTTATTTTCAGGTTAGGTCTTATTTTCTGGGAAACAGGGTAGTAATCATCATGATTAGCACCTTCACTTCAAAATTTACCTTATGCCTCTGACCAAAGACAGGTGTGAATAGGACCAGAGATGAAAGTGCTTCTACAACTCTTCTTCTTTTGTGAATCTATCCTCTTTTTCCTCTTGGTTTCTTTTTATTGGCTTTTTTTTTTTTTTGCTTTGTCTCTCCATCTTCCTCCTTGGCCTCTGGGCTGCTGTGTGAAAGACAGGTCACTCTTGTGTGTGTGAACTAGTCATTTTCAGAAAACAGGCTTAAAGTCACTGATTGGAATCCCCTCCCCTCCCCCCACAAGCTTATGGATTCGCAGGTACTTGATGGCAGCAGTCTTTGGAATAGTCTCTCTGTGGAAACTGAAACAAATTTAAAGATTATATTGCCTAATGGAACATGATTATCACTGTGTTTACCAGCACACTTTTCATTTAATTGTTTGTTTAAACACTTACGATCCTGCTCTTTCAATCCAGTCCCGATTTTTAGAGCAGAAATTGAAATAATAATAGAGATAAACTGACAAAAGGTATAAAATCAGAATATATTTTAGCAACATAGCAGGAGAGAAAAAATGCTACCCTGAGACAAGATTCTAAAATGGTAACAGTCAGAAAATCTTAGAAAATAAAAAAGTGCCATGCTCGTCAAAGTCTCGAGGGGTGAACCTGCTCTGAAGTACAAAGTGGTTTGTTAACAGGGTATTTATTAAGCTAATTGTGAGATAACTTCATAAGCATAATATTAACCTGTCCATTTTGACAACTTTGGAAACAAGATGTGATATTGATGTGGACTAATTAAGTGTCATGAAGAGCAAACGTCAGTGAAAAGAATTTATGTCTGTGAAAGTAAGGGAATAATAAAAGCTTGATAATGATGAGCATTCAAGTCCTTTTAATGGTAGAATAACTTATTGAATGTTTCTAGGATGGGCTCTTTTTATGCACCATGCCTCCCAGCCATCAATGTCATCCGTCTCCATACTTCCATGTACCTGCAGTGTTGGGCTGTGATGTGCTGTAATGTTCCCCATGAGAGAGTCTTCAAAGCCTCGAGATCAAACAACTTCTACATGGCCATGTTGCTGTTCATTCTCTTCCTCTCCACGCTGCCAGTTGTCTACACCATTGTTTCCATCCCGCCATCTTTTGATTGCGGTCCGTTCAGGTCTATTGCTTTTCATATCTATTTCTATATTGGTTGATCAAGGGCTGCTGAACAAATACCTGAACAATCTAGGTGCATTTTCCTGAGAGAAAACTGTGGAGCAACACATCTAAAAATGAATGGAACCAAGGCATCCTTAAGTCCTGTTCAACTTGGTAAAGGGTACTTCTATGTACACTTGCAAGACCAGGCTGTGCATATACAGTACAACTTCCTTGAATTCTATGCTTTTACATATCTGGACATAATAAAAATCATCTGGTCTGTAGCAGGTTTGAAAATTAGGTAAATACAACATCAGATAAACAACAACACATGACATATTACACAGTGTCATGATTTATTCAACAAATATAAAATAGAAATGGAGAAGCCATGTGTGAAAAGCTAAGTACACCTTATGATTCTACCTGTAGCAGCAATAACTTGAAGTAATTGTTTTCTGTATGATGTTCTCTGTCTATCACATTGTTGTGGAGGAATTTTGACTCATTCTTCTTTACAACAGTTGGTTCAGTTCATTGAGATTTGCAGGCATATGTTTATGCACAGCTCTTGTAAGGTCCTGCAACTGCATTTCAATTGGGTTGAGATCTGAACTTTGACTGGGCCATTGCAACACCTTGATTCTTTTCTTTTTCGGCCATTCTGTTGTAGATTTGCTGGTTTGCTTGGGATCATTGTCCTGTTGTATGACCCAGTTTTGACCAAGCTTTAGCTCATATTTGAGGTCATATAGAGGTGGTCACACTTGCTGATGATCAGTTCCTCAAGGGCATTTGGTTAGCAGCACCTGGCTGCTACTTAGCCTCTTAATTCCTGTGGAAGCTGTAGGGGCGTACTTATTTTTCACACATGGCTTCTCCAATTTGGCTTTATTTTTGTTAAATAACCCATGACATGGTGTAATATGTCATGTGTTGTTGTTCATCTGAGGCTGTGTTTACCTAATTTTCAGACCTGCTAAAGACCTGATGATTTTTATTATGTCCTGATTTGTAAAACCATAGAATTCAAGGAGGGTGTACTTTCTTTTTCATATTACTATACTTAGAGGGGGAGATCTCAACTGCATTTCTGTTCTGCATTCTACATGCAGAATTTATTTTGCTAAATAAAACATTTTCAGCTAATAAGTGAATGTAGCCAGACTTCAAGAAGCTTCAGGGGGGAAAATGATATTGACGAGCAAAGTCAACACTGGCTTTACCAGCAGAATGTGACACTGCTTCCGGAGGCATATGCTGTGGAGCAGTGATAAAAGCCACCCAGCTCTTCCTTCTGAGTTCTCTTGCATTTTCCACTATCTTGAAGGACAGAGCCACCTGCACCTTACAGCTTGACAGGCTGGTGTCCACTGTAATTGTTGAGGGAAAGAACATGGCAACCAGAGGCAGACAAGGACAGGTATTTGTGTGCAGCCTCTTCCTCTTTATCACACCCACTCAGGTAGGTGTTCTCCTGCATGCGTATGTCCGTACGCTGATACAGATAGGACGATTTTCTGTTACGGATTCACAGTGGCCTCCCACTCTCACATGTGGACGTTCACACTCATTCAGATTCAGATAAACACTCTTGTGCACACTAATATGCACACATACTGTCAGTCAGGAAGGCATCCTCTGTGATAAACACAACTGCTCAGACACACAGAAACACACACTGTATCTGACAAGATGATTCCTGGGGGTTCATTAAGTTCAGACACCTACTGAAAATATAGCATTTAAATATCAATTGTAAAAGGAAACAGAAGAAGGGAGGGAAGTCTTAGGCAGAGAGTGATGTTAATAGGAGCTCAGAACTATGAAATGGAAGGGAGGAGAAAACTAACTCTCTAGTCCCATTAACAGCAGACTTTCACTACATAACATCAATCTGCCTTTAGAAGCTAATTAACATGATGATGATGATGACAACCATGACGACGATGATTCACATACAGATACCCTATAGTCTTATGCAGACTTGGGCATCCACTAACTTCACTGTAATTTTTTCTGCATGTCACTATTTCTATGCTTCTTCTCTTCATCAATGCCCTCATCGCTGCCAGCAAAGAAATGGCCTGGCAAATTCGTGACACTGCAGATATTGTGATAATTCTATACAGATTACAGTAGTCAAAGTTGTCAAAAAGGGCTGGGGTCCCCCTGCCCTAAATCCTATGCAACCCTTTCAGCACACTCCTGCTATATATAATTGAATTCAGCATTTTTCCTCCTATATTCCATCATTTTAAACCTGAAATCTTCTGCTGACAATTCCAAACACCACCTTGACCAGTTGTCTAATTTTTTTATTTTAAATGCCTATATATATAAAGCTGTCATTTGTAGATTTCAGGTTTAAAATGATGGAATATAGGAGGAAAAATGCTGAATTCAATTATATATAGCAGGAGTGTGCTGAAAGGGTTGCATAGGATTTAGGGCAGGGGGACAGTTGTCTAATTTTTTTATTTTAAATGCCTATATATATAAAGCTGTCATTTGTTTTACTGTGGTGCTTTATTAGCCAGATAAACTTGACATACGTTGTTTTCCATAATAAAATATAAAATGTCCTCTGTTCTCCTCTTCTTATATATATATATGAGAAAAGCCCCAGCCCTTTTTGACAACTTTGACTACTATAATCTGTATAGAATTATCACAATATCTGTATTTAAATGCATTAGAGAAAGCCTGAAAAACTAGGATGAGGGGAACAGAAATAAACACTGATTTCTCAAATAAATGCTTTCAAAATTAATAGTGGGGGGGGGGAGAAAAAGAGAACAGAGGACATTTTATATTCTATTATGGAAAACAACGCATGTCAAGTTTATCTGGCTAATAAAGCACCACAGTAAAATAAATGACGACATTTTATATTCTATTATGGAAAACAACTCATTTCAAGTTTATCTGGCTAATAAAGTACCACAGTAAAACAAATGCTTTATGCAGATCTGCACACAAGGACCGGGTTTACTGAGTGGTCTGAAGGAAGCTAATGGGTGGATTATTATTCTAAAATACAGTTCCCTTCAGCACAATCATCTTTTTCCTTTTCCACTTATGTAAGCATTCAAAGCAGCACAGTACAAAATCCAACACTGGTAAGGTCTACTCACAAGTTAAAGAGTAAACAAAGGCAGCAATATGATCTATGCTTCTAAGATCACATACTGTTCATATACACACAGCAGTGGCAGTTGTCAGATAATCAAATGAAAAATAAACCAACACCTTTTTTGTTTCTCTTCAACTGCTTTCCTTCATCATCCTGGTTGTTGTTGCAGACGAGGGAGCTGTGTTGTTTTTGTGTAAGCATTATAGATTTTGAAAAAATAAAAGAGCAAATACAAAAGACAAAATCACAGTGGCATCTTAAAGATTTACTGTTATACTTTAATGTGAGCTTTCAAAGACAAGTCTACTTCCTCAAACATAAGAGAGAGAGATACAATATGGCAAATATTTGTACATGGCATCAAAATACAGAGATTGTGCATGATCATATATTTTTGTATGGCCAACAATGCCTATCTGCATTCTACATAGGATACAAGGACAATCTCTATGTAAAAGAAATAATGAACAAAAGGCAACTATCAGGAATGGCAACACAAAAAATTTGTTTCACATCGTTTTAATTTACAACATTCTGCGCATGACCTAATAGTGGCCATTCTAAAGAAAGAAACTATAGGACAAGAATCCAGAGAGAAAGAGAAAGGGCTGAGATAAAATATATACACGTGCTAGATATTCATCTCAATGAACTCAATATAAGCCAAGGCTTTTTAGGGCACTACCAAATATAAATACTACAATAATTGTACTGTAGTGTATCTCCCAGATATATTTTCCTCCTTAACAGATCCACCTTAAAAACTTCAAAGGCAAACCAGAGAGTCTTACCTCATTGCTATGTTGCTCTAAGTAAGTACACACATACATTTTGGCTTTAAGGTGGCTCCTGCAAGATGGCTTCAGAATCTTATTTACGCTTCAGAGGTGGGCTAACTGAAAATAGTATAAACTTGAGTAAGAGCAACGCTCAATTTATCCTAAAGGAGCATTTCCATGGCTGACAGGGTTGTTAGAGGGCTTCTGACTTTTTGACACATCTGAGTGATATGCAGGCATTCAATATCTGAAGCTTTTCCCAAGATAGAGGTTCAGTGAAGAGGAAAAATATAATTTGTTGATTTATTTGCTGATCATACAAGAGCATTTATTGTTAGGAACATATTATGAATGAACTGGATGGGGAGTTAAACAACGAAATATAATATAGGTGCCTGCATTTAGATGAAATGCATAAGAATTACATGCTTTGAGTGATTGCCTCTCCGTTTCCCCAAATTCTTGTGATTCTGTTCACCACATATACGTATGTGACCATCCATGCTGGAAGCAGTTTCCCCAAATTCTTGTGATTCTGTTCACCACATATATGTGACCATCCATGCTGGAAGTAGTATTAGTCATGTTTAGAGTAGGTCCCAAATAGTAGCGGATACTGTGTCAGATGAGACATTGGGTTCAGATCCTCTCTTGGCCATGAAAATTCACTGTTGACTGACAATATAAACCATCCCACATATGTAAAAACTATATAAAGGTTCAATTCTTGTGATTCTGTTCACCACATATATGTGACCATCCATGCTGGAAGTAGTATTAGTCATGTTTAGAGTAGGTCCCAAATAGTAGCGGATACTGTGTCAGATGAGACATTGGGTTCAGATCCTCTCTTGGCCATGAAAATTCACTGTTGACTGACAATATAAACCATCCCACATATGTAAAAACTATATAAAGGTTCCCCTTGACAATTTTTGTCCAGTCGTGTTCGACTCTAGGGGGCGGTGTTCATCCCCGTTTCCAAGCCATAGAGCCAGCGGTTTGTCCGAAGACAATCTTCCATGGTCACATGGCCAGTGAGACTTAGACACAGAACACTGTTACCTTCCCACCAAGGTGGTCCCTATTAATCTACTTGCATTTGCATGCTTTTGAACCGCTAGGTTGGCGGGAGCTGGGACAAGTGACGGGCGCTCACTCCGTCACGTGGATTCGATCTTACGACTGCTTGGTCTTCTGACCCTGCAGCACAGGCTTCTGCAGTTTAGCCCGCAGCGCCACCAATAGGAGTTGCCATACGTTGGAAGCAATTTGACAACACATAACAACATAATGGTTCCACTGAGAGCAGTTAGACTTAACTTAGATATGAGTACTTAAGTCCCATTGTTTTCAGTATAACTAAATGTGGATCCAAGCCAATATTTAAAAAAAATAAAATTCAGGGAAGCCAACTGCTGCCATGTAAACAAAGCTGTGGAAAGCCACTTTTTATTTGTGATGGTGGAATACCATGGGTGACATCTAGAGGTGGATTTTGGCAAATGTAGCCCCAGAACCTCTGTAAACACAGGTATAGAAAGGGATAAAGGTCAGATAAGAAGGAAGTATATATAAGAATGGTTGTCTAACTTTACACATGCAAACTTTTGTAAAGAGAAAACAATAATGACATAGTCAGCTACTTATTCTGAGAAAGACATAGTCCTTAGCACTACTTTCCAAAATCACAATAACTAGAATTATATAAAACCCTTCATAGTGCTTTTAAATTTAGAGGTCCAGCTTGGTGATATTCTTTTCCATGCACACAAGTTTCAAGAAGAAATATAAGCTTCTCATTTGGGGTGTCTGCAGAAGTGAGCATCTTTTCTTGAGTGTTAGTGAACAAAAGCAAGTCAAGCAGGCCGATGCTCAACTTAGTCCAAGTTCCACCATCTTCCCATTCAACTATTCCAGTGGTTCTCAACCTTTGGTATTCCAGATGTTCTGGATTTAATTTCTCAGAATCCCTGATCGCTGGCCAGGCTGGCTGTGAATTCTCAGAATTGAAATGACAAAATATCTAGAGTACCAGGGTTTGAGAACCATCGATCTACCCCAAGGACCTTCTTCTATTCCGTGTTTGAAAATCAAATGGATCTCTTGGTGTTACATTATGCTGTTGCTGCAGATGCTGTTATATCTGTTAAGACTGTGTGGTTTTTTAACTCTAAAAACAGACTTCTGATTTCTTTCCTTTCTTCTGTTTATGTGTGTTGACAGTGGAAAAACCAGAATGTTTGAGGTCATTGGAGAAACTCTGGAGCATGATTTCCCTTCCTGGTTCCAGAAAGTTTTTAATCTTGCCTCAAATCCTGGCGTGATCCTACCCTTCATCCTGCTGATGGTGTATGTGTATCATAATTACTTCGCTCTCTGTTGGAATAAATTGTAAATCAATACTGTTATTTTCTACCCTTTCCTCTTTCTAATGTGCTCAAGGAAACATACATTATCTTCTCCTACAGTGTCCTTGCAACCTCTTGTGCGGTGGGTTAGGCCAAACAGTTCCTTGTGGCTCAAGGGTTACCTGGTAGAGCAAGGATTCAGACATGCTGTTTGTTCCTTGCTTTCAATATATGTATATATGTGTGTTTCTATTTTTCATTTTGAATGTTGAACTATACAGTGGGGCAGAGAAAAAGAAGAGTAAAGAAGCAGGATGAAGTTTGCGGTACTTTTAATATCCCTCCTTATTTTTAGGGCTATTACTCATCTTTTTTTTCCCTTCAGGGCTCATTTAATGAACTGAGGGTGATGTGGTGTAAAGTAAACTAACTTTGTGTCTCTGTGTGAGAATAGGCATAACCTTAGTGTGCATAGTTCTGCTATGGGCGCTTTGTGAAGGTTATACTTCATTCACATTTTGACAATGAAGATGGTTGTTCTATCAACACGTCTAAAATGATATTTGATGCAATGATCATTATGTGATACAGCATGTATGATTTTTACCTTTTCAGCTTGAGCATCTACTACCTCAATGCCACTTCGAAAGGGTACAAGGATATGAACTTGGAGCTCAAGAAGAAACTGCAAAATGTAAGGATGTTACCAAAGTTGGTTGGTTGGTTTTTTTCCAATTAAAGGAGGAGACAAATGGTGGCCCTTCAGAGTTTGTCGGGCTGCAGCTCTCATAATCTGCAGCCAGCAGAGCTGGTGGTGAGGGATGGTGGAAACTGTGGCTCAAAAACATCCAAAGGCCACCCATTGCCTTCCCATGAATTTCGATCATGCTTGGGAGTAATTACATGCCTATTTTCATTCTTTCTATCCAGCAAGCTGAGGAAAACAAAAGAAGGAACAAACAAAAAGCCCAGCAACAACGGGAAAATGAAGACATCTCCATTGAGCCTGAGACCAAACCAAGCAATCCAAAAGGAGGTGGGAAGGGTTTGGAAACTCCTTTTGCTCCATTAGTGTGTTCGTTTCAGCTTTTTACCTCCCCCACCCCCACTTTCTTCCCCGTAGGGAAGGAATTGAGGCTGAGGGAAGGAAGACATGGCCTACTCTTGCATTTATACGGCAGAAAATCCTTGAATGCCCATTTTTCCACCTGCAACTCCCTTTCTGAAGGAAATAAACATCCACTGAATGTCTGTTCTGAATGCAGTCAGAATGGAATATGCTTAGCCTAATACAAAGTAAAAAAAAATCAATAATGAGACCCTAAAGCAAGTAAAAGTTTAAATACAGAAACTTCGAGATAATAATCCATCAACAGGATAACCTCGAGAACTTTTGGACTTTACATCTTCTTGGCAAAATCCATCTTACTATGAAATTTTGAACTTTAAATTCTTCACACTGGGACATGCCTGATGAAGTAGCCCTGATCCATGAAAGCTAGCAGATTGTATGATGGTTTTCTTTTTAGTGATCTATAAAGGTATGGCGTACTCTTTCATTTGTAATTAAGCTGCATCTGTTTGGGTGCTATATAAATTCCAGAACTGCATGTAGCCATTGCAGATTCCCAGTGTGACATAGTGGATAGAATGATGGAATAGGACTTCGGAGAACAGAGTTCAAATCTCCACTCAGCCATAGAAACTCACTGGGAGTAGAACTGGTAAAACAATTCATTAAATATCTCAATTACCTTGAAAGCCTTATTAGGGTTGCTATAAGTCAGTTCCGATTTGATCGCACAGAACACACACACTTGTAGCCATTAAAAATAGAAAGGAGAAAGTTGGCAATAGTATTCATATCGTTATAATAAAGTTTCAAGAAACAGTATTCTGTCAAAACACCAAGGAGGAGCTACTTGTGGTAATTTGTAGTACAGTATCATAAAGTAGCTGCAGCAATATATGAAGTTGCTTGTAACCACAAAGGTACAGGAGCATTTTATTTTACTTGTTACAAATATATCCCTCTTTTCCACAAAGGAGGTCAAATGTAGATGGTCCTCCTCCTTATTTCTGTCTTCAGAACAACCCTGCAATGCAGCTTATTAGTCTGAGACATAATCATTGGCCAAAGGTCACCCAATACTCTCCATAGCTGGGATTTGAACTAGAATCTTCTCCACGGTTCCGCTCCAACCCTTTAAGCACTGTGTGAGCCTGTCCATGCCATCCTTGCTCCTCAAATTATTTCAGTTTTTAAATGGACCCCTCAAATCTTGAGAGCCCAAATAGACGAAACACAGCTCCAGAGTTCCTTGTTCCTCTTCCTTGGAAGGCAGCACATTGTTTAAGTCAAAATCAAAACCCAGCATTTGCTTTTAAAAATCAGTTTTGGGCATTCAGTTTCAGCAGCCACACCTGAAACCAGAGTGGGTTATTTTACTGAAGCACAGGACAGTATATTTTGCTTTCCTCATAATTTCTTGCTCCCAGAATTATTCTGGGGCCAACAAATGATCCTCAAAGCAATGCCTTAGATCTTGTGCTTTTGTTAAAAACCCAACAAAAAACTTAGCAGTATTTCCAGAAGGTCAACACTATAAACCTGCATCGATTGGCCATTTTGTGTAAAATAGGCCTGAGGTTGTGCTGCTAGCTCCTCCTCTGAAGTCATGTGGTATCGCCATCAGAACGGATGCCTGCACAGCCAAGCCTCTGGGCATGGATTTCCAAATGCAAGATCATGTACATTCCTTTAAATCTTCTTTCCCCAAATGTTTTTATCTAGAAATCCAACCTTCCCCAGCCAGCATACAGGAAAAGCCATAAAAAAGGCTGTAAGATGGTCTTACTGAGACTCAATGACAGACCAACACAATGAGAAGGTGGTTTGACCAAAGCGAGCTGTAGGTTATATATTATTTGTACTGTTTTGTCAATCTAAATTGCCAAGAATATGCTAAAGGGAGCACCAGGCTTCCTTGTCCATCTTCACTCATATATCCTTATGAAGCACACAAGGAAAATGTTCTCTTGTTCTTCCAATACAGTACTTTCCATACCGCTGTTGTACTTATTCGTGGTCACATGGCAAACGTCTCAAGAACTTTTAGTGGTACCAATTATTTACTCCTATTTGAATTATCATGGCCAGCTACACTACGGTACAGGTTTATTTTCTCTCTTGCTTTCAGGGTAGGGTTGCCAGATGTCAGGGAAAAGGAGGACATGTCCTCCTTTTTAGCCTAATGTCCTCCATCAGGCAAAGATAAAAACCTTTAAAATGTCAGGCTTTTGTATATTTTATGTTATAATTTTGGATGGGAGGGGGAGAGGTGGAAGGACCCCCTTCCCCCTGGCTTTCCCTGCCCCCACCTGCCTGCCCACCCTGGTATTTTGAATTCGTGGTCACATGGCAAACGTCTCAAGAACTTTTAGTGGTACCAATTATTTACTCCTATTTGAATTATCATGGCCAGCTACACTACGGTACAGGTTTATTTTCTCTCTTGCTTTCAGGGGCAATTCAGCCCCTTAATTTATATATATATATTTTAAAAATATCTATTGATACATCAATCAATAAAAATATTTATTGATACATCGAAGGGACTTCTCTTTGGGAAGAGGTCTTATGTGGCACTGGCTGCTCTTGCAGAATTGCATTGGTCCGTATACTTCCCGCTCCGTCTCCTCTGCCTATCAGGTTAACCTGCTATTTTGTTTTTCCCTCCTGCAGCACATACACACCCTTGACTGTCTTCTCACAATGACTGGCAAAAATGGCATGTTGAAATGCCAGTACTGTAGCAGTGGCATAGATTGCTTTCTGACATACTTTTACCAACGTAAAATAATAACAACAATAATATGCGCACCGCAATAATGACAACCACCTTCCTAGCTTTGATTCAGAAAATAAGTGGGGCAGGTCATGCACACAGACAATTCCAGTAAGGAATGCACTGATACAACAGATGTATAAAATAACACAACCCTCCCAGGGAGTGAAAAATAATCACAGTTGCACTGCTGGTTGGGAAACGGTTTTGATCTTGACCGTGTGTCGCATGACTCGGAGGGGAAAAGCAACAATCTAACTGGGGGATAACTAGAGAACATTTTTCTCATGTGACCAGGGCCTTAGTAAAATAACAGCAACAATAACAATAACATTGTGTGTTTCAGATAAAGAAAAAGGAGAGAAGGAGTCAAAGAAACAGCAGGCTCCACAGCAGGAGGAAAGGCCCAGCATTGCAAATGGAAGCTACCCTCCCCATGGCAGAGGAGGAGGAGGAGGAGCGCCAGCCCCTCTGCCGCGGATAGCAGTGACTAGGCCTCCAGGACCCAGGGGCGTTGGCATGAATGGCCATCTTCCCGGACAGCCACGCTTTGGAGGTCTTCCCCCCAGGATGCCAGGAGGACCACCTCAACGTTACTGATACAGAGAAAGTTACCAGCTTAGTCTTCTGTAGTATTTTTACTCTACAGCACAACTCCAAATGCTTGCAGAGGAAAGCACTTAAGTTTTTTATATTCGGAAGATAATGCAGAGCTAGAATCTGCAAGGCTATCAGAAACAAAGTGGCTTGGACCTAATTTCATAAGCATCTTGGGGCTACGCAAGGTCTTGAGCTAAGTCTTCTTCATGCCTAAGAGAGAAAGGGGTTTTTGTAGTTTTTTTCAATTGAGAAGGGCAGAATTTAGGGTCAGTAATTGGTAGAAACCTACTTGCACACGGTACACCTAATCTGGATCATGCTTCTGTGTGCCTGTCTGTAGCTGAAAGAGGAAGATGAGCACCCTACACATGTCATATCAAGGCGGGTGTAAATATCGGAAGTGTTATGTTGACAAATATAATAAATTAGGAAACCACTGTTGTCTTCCCATTTCATTGAGGTATCAGCATCTTAGATTATCCTTGCCTTGTTCTTTCTTTAGCCCCATGGCCAGAAACAGAGGTTAGAGAAAAGGGCCTGTTAGAAGTTGAGAGAGACCTAGGTTACTTTCATTATTTTGAGTATCCTAATAATAATAATAATAATAATAAACCAAATGCTAAAACAGGGTTACAGAAATTGTAGCATATTTTAAATTTGAGTCCCTCTGTTCCTGGGAGGTCTGGCCAAATAGTCCCTTTGATCACTTCCACATTCTATGACAAGCCCTGTTAGAGGCACCACAATTAGAACTGAAATTGCATTAATGCTGTAGATAGGTGATCAAGGTCACCTTTGGATTCGTGAAATCACACTTTAAAGGGATCCTGTGCTTGTCCTGAGCACACCTTGCCAAATAAACCAACCTAATTTTTGTTCACTTAGAGGTGTGAAGCTGGGGACAGAGCGTTGGACTAGGACTCAGGAGGCCCGAGTTCAAATCTCTGCTGAGCCATTGAAACTCATTGGGAGAGTGGAACTGGTAAAACCACTCCTTAAACATTTCACTTGCTTTGACAGCCCCATTAGCATCTCTGTAAGTTGGTTCTGACCCAACAGTACATAATAACAACCACAAAAGTGAGAAAAGCTCCTGCTGTAACATTCAGATTAGAGATGGCGACAAAGTGCCAAAATCACGAATTGTCCTCCCCCCCCCGTGAGCTGACAAACAACGAATCAATTCGTCCTTCCTTGGGTCATTTCCACCCCCCCTTTCCCTCCTCTTGCTATGCCCTGCATGGGGCTTAGCAAGGAGAAGGAAATCAGGGATCAAAGGGATTGTGCAGCCATAGCGGCTGTGGGACCCTTTAATCCAATCCCTCCTCTTCTTATGCTGTGCAGACATGGGAAGAAGAGGAAAGGGGAATGAAGCCATCCCCCAGGCCCAGGGGTGGGATCCCCTTGAAGCAGGCTTTAGCAAGCCGCCCAAAAGGGAAACCCCTCTCTGCTTATGCCCCCAAGGAACAGCTGATATAAGTAGATAGGGAACAAAGGGACAAATATAATGAACGAAGGGACAAATATAAAAGGGTTATATTCATTGCTTCATATTCGTTGAAGTCTCTAGACCACAATAATGCAAAGCAATGAATATCTGATGAATCAGGGATATTTAACAAATATCCTGATTCATTTTTATATTATTCCCCATGTTTAATTCAGATTCTTTCATTAGCTGAAGATTTCCACCTCCTAAGTACAGGTTACCTCTAATGTCTCTTTATGGTCCTTGCTTCAGATTCTGGTAATCTTCAAGTATGGATAAATGGTGATATTTATGCTTTAGGGACTTGGTGGGAAGAAAAGAGAATGTCATCTCTGTTGTGAAATTACATTTTCTTTACAAACTGCTATTTTATTATTTCTTCCCTGTGTTTTAACTCTGCTCTTCTGGGTACTTTAGAGATAAAAAAACCACTTGTGAATTGTTCTTGATTTCAAATTAGAAATGAAAAGAATTACTTTCTACAAGCACATCAAAATTTTGATAAGGCCTCATTTGATGTGTGATAATAACCCAGGGCCGCCAGAGGGCAGTGCTCTGCCAGTCACTGGAGCTAAACTAATGTCTGGTTTCTTTGATGGCTAAGCTTCAAATCAACACAAGGGAAGAGACAGGGTTTATATGGCATATGTGAAAATGTTAGGCCATATAAACCCTATATAAATGGGCTCCCAGAAACAGCCGGTGGGCTGTTTCTGAAGCAGGTGGATCTTGTTCTGATGTAGAAAGACAGTCCATAAACACTGTTACACTTGTTAATAAGCTGGGGCAGAATCCCTAGACATAGCTGTAGGCCTAATCAGTCGAAGAGTGGACACAGAATATGGGGGAGCATAACTCCAGGATTTTCTTTCTTAAAGGAAGACCAAGGAGTCATCTATCAAAGCAGCAGGGGTAGTGATGCAGCCTCTTTACTCTGGGAAATGAATTGGGTAATAAAGAAGCATTCATATTTTCCTATTGTTTGTGAGAGGGGAAGAGTTTCATATGAAAGAGTAATAAGAAACATAATCCAGCAGAGCCTGGTTACAGTCGTGCCCTGCTTTACGATTACCCTGTTTAACGACGAATCCACTTGATGACAATGTTTTTGCGATCGCTTTTGTGATCGCAAAATGATGTTTTGAATGGGGTTTTTCTGCTTTGCAATGATCGGTTCCCTGATTTGGGAACCGATTTTCGCTATACGACGATCAAAAACAGCTGATTGTCTGGTTTCAATATGGCCACCGGGTGTACAAAATGGCTCCCCGTTGTGTTTAGGAGCCATTTTTCACTTTACAGGCACCCGAAAATGGCCGCCCTGTGAAGGATCTTGGCTGGATGGTGAGTTTTCAGCCCATTCGAATGCATTGAATGGTTTTCAATGTATTTCAATGGGCTTTTTTATTTTGCTTGATGAGGATGTCGCTCTACAGTGATTTTGCTGGAACAAATTAACATTGTTAAGCAAGGCACCACTGTGCTTCTTTTCTTTTGACGGAATGCCCACTTCACGCTACCAGTTTCAGTGGTAGCATTTCTTTCATAAGATTGTTTGCAGCCCTAGTTGACAACTCACTATCAATAGTGGTACGCATAACGCATCACTGAGTCCAGTAGCACTTAATCCCAAGTAATTTTGCCCTGGATCCCACTCCCGCAGAATCTAATAAATGGGAATTTATGCTAGGGTGCTGTCATGATGACTAATTGCATTGCAGCATGTACTACTATGCCACTAGGTACAATCGGCCTTGTATCGTTCCCTGGTTAATATAAATATCGTATTATATATATAAGAAATCTGCTGGCTGGGAAAATGCATGTTTAAAACAGATGCCAGCTCTCAACTAAATAGTACGATGGGTGAAGAGTGTTTTACACACACACACACACACACACACACACACACAAACACACACACAAACACACACACACGTTATCTTAGCAGTTACAATTTATGGAGTCTAGGACAGCAATGAATTTTGGTCCCTCCTGTTTTCCTCTACAAGGCCCCACATATATGTGAACAAAGCAGGGAGCCACATGTGAAAATGTTATCACTTCTCACCTGCAGCTCCTCAGTGCCTTGAGGTGATGCAAAAGACCAGCTTTATCCACCCCTTTCATTAAGATAAATGAACTGGGATCAGGTTAGACTTCTCATGAGGACCTTATCCAAATCCAAATCCCTTCTAGAGCTCCTTTTTGCTTCCTGGGATTCAGTCTCACAAGTCTTTCGGTTGTGTTCTGCTGGTGACCTTTTCCTGTACTCACTCAGCAAGAAGGACATTTCCCTAAAGAGCTGGTGCCGCACCTTTCTCTGTGGTGAGTGCAATGGAGAATTACAATCCAGTGGCTCCTCTTCTGGAAATCTTGGGGGGGGCACTCCCTCCTATTCCTACCTCTCTGAACTTTTTCCCAGTTGCCTTGGAATACCATTTGTGGTGGAAATAGGATGTACTTCTTTCCACATAAAAGGTAAAGGTAAAGGTTCCCCTTGACATTTTTAGTCCAGTCGTGTCCGACTCTAGGGGGCGGTGCTCATCCTGTTTTCAAGCCGTAGAGCCAGCGCTTGTCCGAAGACAGTTTCCATTGTTACATGGCCAGTGTGACTAGGGAACGCCATTTTACCTTCCCACCGAGATGGTACCTATTTATCTACTCGCATATACATGCTTTCGAACTGCTAGGTTGGCGAGGAGCTGGGACAAAGCAACGGGAGCTCACTTCATCGTGTGGATTCAATCTTATGACTGCTGGTCTTCTGACCCTGCAGCACACAAAGGCTTCTGCAGTTTAGCCCACAGTGCCACCACGTCCCAACCTCTTTCCACATAACTCCTCCTTAAAGATCAGTGACCTTAATGGTCAGTGACCAGGAAGATAACAAAACGCTATTTAGATAATAAGAGACTGAAGTTAAGAAGGATATTCTAAGTTAGCCAGGGGCATTGAAGGAGATAAATGTTCTGAAAACATCACACCAATCACGCAGTATAAAATGAAATTAAGAGACATAACCATCAGCATGCCACCACAACTCTTGTAGAAAGTAATATTAAGCAAGAAATCTCTATCAAGGGCAGGGGCACTTGAAGACCATATATGGTCAGGAAACTGGCAACCTACAACAGCTGTCCCCTTCACGGATTGCTACCTTGTCATGGCGAAGGGGCTTGAGTAATTCAGAGAAGCTATGGGCTATACCGTGCAGGGACACCCAAGACGGACAGGTCATAGTGGAGACTTCTGACAAAACACAATCCACCTGGAGCAGGAACTGGCAAGCCACTCCAGTATCTTTGCCAACAAAACCCCTTGGACAGAAGCAAAAAGCTAAAAGATACGACGCTGGAAGATGGGACCCTCAGGTCGGAAGGCGTCCAACATGCTACTGAGGAAGAGTGGAGGACAAGGACAAGTAGCTCCAGAGCTAATGAAGTGGTTGGGCCAAAGCCGAAAGGTCGCTCAGCTGTGGACGTGCCTGGAAGTGAAAGGAAAGTCCGATGCTGCAACGAAAAATACTGCATAGGAGCCTGGAATGTAAGATCTATGAACCTTGGTGAGCTAGATGTGGTCAACAGGAGATGGCAAGTATTTGGCCACTTTACTAGTAATACAAGAAACCTTATCAGAGAGTAGCAAAGTAATATAAAATTCATCAGATCTCCCTGGATATTTTTGAAAAATAGGAGAGAGAAGATCCTTGAAGATAACTCAATGAAGCAGGACAATGTAAGAGAATATGCCCCACTGTTTCTACTTCACCACCACTGCAAGGACATAAATGATCAGAATAGAATATGCCCTGAAACCCACCTTCCAAGAGATTAGAAGGCAACACATTAAATCTGGCTGTGGTAAAAGCTCTTCTAGATTTAGGTGGTGTTATACTGCTCAGATAAGCGGGAAGTATAAAGGAGTTGTTCTTTTACA